CAAACAATCTGACCTTCCAAAAGAGACACTGGAGATTACTGCAGCACTGAGTGAAGGGTGAAGTCTCCTGCCCCAAGTTGTGTGAGTGGAAGGGCACAGGCTTGGAGCCTGTCTGCTCTCGATGCCAGGCCTGCCCAACAGCACCTGCTCCGTGCAGAAGTGTGCCCCAAAGCCCTCAGGGAGCTAAGCTGGAAAAACACAAATACTAAACTCGAATTCAATTCAGGAAGGGTAAATTTTGTAGTATGTGAATTACATCTCAATAAAAACTTTAAAAAACATGGTTTAAGCAGAATTTTAGATTGATCCCTGGGAAGAAAATGCTAATTAATTTAAGTGTACATGTTTATAATTTTCTAACTTTTTTTTTTTTTTCCTTTTGTCTTTTTTCATGTCCGGCAATGGATCGCAACCCTCAGTGTCGCGCCCGTACCGTACCGGGACTGGCAACGGGATCGCAACCCTCGGTGTTGCTTTATTTTTTAAATTTTTTTGTCTTTTTTTTTTTTCGTGCCCGGCAACGGATCGCAACCCTCAGTGTCGCGCCCATACCGGACCAGGACCGGCCACGAGATCGCAACCCTCGGTGCTGCTCCCGCCCCTCGCTCAGCCAGTGAGCTGCCGGTCTGCATGCGGGATCCGACCCCTCGGCGGGAGCGCCTCCGCGCTCCCAAGCAGCACACTGTAGCAGTGCGCCACCCGGCCGGCCCATAATTTTCTAACTTTTGATTTGTTTTAAAAAGAGATCTTCCAGGCCATGATTTCAGATGGCTTCTGCACCATGTAGGTGCCACTGTCAGGCAGTCATGGAAAGACTGATGGCATCTTTGCAGGGAGTGCCAGCACCATGGGGGTCAGTGACAGCCCCAGTCTGCATCTGTGACAGGCTTCATGAAGGTGCCAACAGTGCCCCAGCAAGGTGGAGGCGCCCAGAAGCCCCAGGAGCCACCCTGTGGGCACCAGGACCCCTAGTCCTAGCCATGAGCAGCAGCAAGCACACCATGGTCACAGAGGGCATCCCTGAAGAGGATGCTGTGAGGTGTGGCCATGGTGAGGGCTTCCAGGACTTGTAGGTCCAGCACACACGAGGGGGCCACGAAGACTTGCACAGTTTTGGGGAGGCTGGGTTCACTCTCATCCTTTGCTTGCAGGGTGGCATCAGTCACCAGCAGTGAAATCTCCCTTTGTTCCAGAAGAAGCAGACTCTTTAGCTACAATCAGAAGACACAGTAAAGACTATTAACTATTCTTATATCCAAAAATTTTTTTAAAGCAATAATCTTAGATGATTATTATGAACACTAACAATTTAAGATATTATTTCAAAAACAGTTTAAAGGTTACAAAAGACTTTGCACATCTTGGTCACTAGCCCCCAGGAACACAGCTGTGCTCATGTGCCTGACCTTGTACCTGGTAAAGGACACCTTTGCTGGGGCAACCCACCCTTCCCTGCCAGCACTCCACCTGTCTTCTGACCTACTAGGTAGAATCCATTGTTCTCTCCCTCCTGATCCTGTGCTTACATGCCTAAACTGTTAATTACCACACTGCTTTCTGTCTAGTGCATACACATTCTTTTCTCCAGGTAGTCGTGCTTCCTGAGGGTTAAGAACAGATCTTATTTGCCCTCAGACTTTGTATAGGCTTTGGAATAAAGCAGGTATCACGTATCTGTTGCATCTGCAACAGTTCCTATTTTTCTTTCTTTCATTTTTTTTTTCTTATCTGCAAAATTTGTAATACCTTTTCAAGTTCTCATTAAACCAGTATACTGCCCCTTCCCCTTGGTCAGGGCTTAGAATTCAGTAGATTCAAATGGGGCCAAGGATGGTCAGTAGGGCCAGGGCCTAAGGACTTGGCTAGGTTGAGGTTCAGCTGGTGCTACTGGTGTGGACAGTGTGGTCAGGCTGAGGATTTTGCATGGCTGGTCAAAAGGCCTGGGCAGAGCAGGTGACTTGCATGGTCAGAGCTGCAGGTTGGGGCAGAGGAGGCAGGCTGCGTGGCTGGGAGGTTGATTATATACAGGAAGTTTGAGTAAGTAATACTGAGGAAAATAGAGCCAGGTTTCTCACTGTTGGAGAAGGGAGTTATACATGCAGAAAGGGGGAAGCCTAAATTCTTTTGTAATAGTCTGGAGTTGGAAGTACAGGTGTGAAATCACGATTTTAGATACAGAAGTGGATTTGTGTGTGTGTGGGCATGCACGCACATGAATATGCATACCAACATTTCCTGGCCCTGTCCACTGTGAAGGTCTAGAAGCTATGACACCCAATAGCAGCGAGCCCACCTAGAACCCAGATCTTGGCTTCTAAATACCTTTTTCCATTAAAATAAACCAGGGCTCCTTGAAGAGATGGCTGATTACAGAGCATAGAAAGCAAAAGGTAGGTCTGAAACATCTTAATAGTGTCAGAAAGTATGAAGGTAGTCAAAGAATGAACACAAGAGGCAGCTTAAATTTGAGAAAATTTGAGCATCAAAATGAATAATAGTGACAGATTACCTTGTTGAATAAGAAACAAATCCACTGGTCCCCACTAATATAAATAGATATGTGACTACATAAATAAACTGGGGAAAGGAAAAGCTCCTCATTACAGCAGAATGTCAGCTAATAAATTTAGAAGAAGTGCTGGAATTAGAAATTTATCATTTGGCCACCATCAGAGTATAACTAATTTAGGCAAGAATCGTAATGGATGTTAAAGTGAGTGGGTAAAAGTTCGATAAGAAACAGCATATTTATGGGCCGGCCCGGTGGCGCTCCCGCCAGAGGGTTCGGATCCCACATACGGACCGGTTCCCGCTCCGGTCCCCGCTCAGAGCGAGGCGCGGGAGCAACGCTGAGGGTTGCGATCCCGTTGCCGGTCCCCGGTCCGGTACGGGGGCAACACTGAGGGTTACGATCCGTTGCCGGACACGGAAAAAGACAAAAGACAAAAATAAAAAAATAAAAAAATAAAAAAAAATTAAATAAATAAAAGGGACTGCACAAAAAAGACAGGCATTTAAAGAAATAGATGGGCCCAGATGAAGTTATGTGTATTCCCCCATACCCTCTTATTTCAATAGTTTTCACATAATTCTTCCACTTGTTTACTCCATATGGAAATGCTAAGAACAATATGAAAACCTTCCCTGATGTTTCAGAGAAAGGCTAGCTTTGAAAGTCCCAGATTCTAACCCTGATTGTGGTTATGGGAAAGTCCAGGGCTCTCTGGGATGGCAGCCAGGTGCAGCAGAGAGAGTCCCAATTGGGCAAAAAGAAGGCCAGTCCTGTGGTCTTTGTTCTGACTTTACCTTGGTGAGTTGTCCTGGACAAACCTTTTTACTTTTCTTGGTGCTCTCAGCATTCTTATTTATAAAATGAAATAACTTCTATAGATCTTTTCCAGGATCACGATGTGAAGGAAAAGGTGGAATGTTGGCTGCATGAGCAGCTCTCTTCCAGGATAGAAGTGCGTGCATTAGTGGCACTGGTGTTTTATTAACTAACAAGTATGAAATACTTATTAGTAAACCTTAGAGTGGAGAAACTTGGAAAACACCATCTTAACCAATTGATAAAACATCACAGTTCTGGGACAAGCCAATTCTGTGTCTTCTGACATGAACCTGTATTGTTCACGTGCTATTCCTGTCAAAAACGCACAGTCTGAATCTATTCGTGAGAGAACATCAGGCAAACCTGAACTGAGGGACGTTCTACTAAGTAACTGCTTATGTTCTTAAAGAAAGTCAAGACGCTAAGAGGCAAGTGCAGATGAACAGCGTTGCACATGGAGGAGACAGGAGAGACGGGGCGTCCGACGCACCACGCGGCCCCGTGTTAGCCTGCAGTCGCAGAGGGCATTTTTGGCAGAATGGGCAAAACTGAAAATTTAAAAATTTGTGGATATCTCAAGAAGGACAAAGATTTCTACCAAATTATCTGAGGTTGAGAGTTCTTCTGACAATCTTCAAAGATTTCAGACACTCTTTGTAAATACCCTGGATTTGGCATATGGTCTCTCTTTCAATCTACTGATGAACCAAGATGTTCTAATTTCCTTCGAAATTAAATATCAAGTTATGTCTGCTATTGGGGTTATGAACAAAGTCAGTGACAATAAAATATTCTGTAAAAAGACACCAGTAACCAATTACTTCAAAGCAGTACTATCAATTTATTGCTAAAATTTTATTAAAAATAAATCTCTTTTTATTCATAATTACCAAAACTTAAAAGCAACCAAGATATCCTTCCATAGGTGAATGGATAAACTGTGGTATACCCAGACGACAGAATATTATTTGGCACTCAAATGAATAACATTTGAAATGAGCTATCAAGCCAAGAAGAGATACAGAAACTTAAACGCATATTACTAAGAGAAAGAGGCCACTCTGCAAAGGCGGCACACTCCATGATTCCAACTATAGGACATTCTGGAAAAGCCAAACTGTGGACACAGTAAAAAGATCAGTGGTTCCCAGGGGTTTAGGGGAGGGAGGGATGAACAGGGGGAGCAAAGAGAAATTTTAGGGCAGTGAAACTATTTCGTATGAATCTATAAATGGTGGATACATATCATTATACATTTGTGCAAACCCACAGAAAGCACAACACCGAGAGTGAACTCTAATGTACACTCTGGACTCTGGATGACTATGATGTGTCAGTGTGGGCTCATCAGTTGTAACAAATGCACCACTGTGGTGGGGGACATTGATAGTGGGGGAGGCTGTGTGTAGGGGGAAGGAGCCATATGGGAAATCTCTCTACTTTCCTCTCTTTTAGAGCAGTTTTAGGTTCACAGCAAAATCAAGTATATTAAAAAAAATTATTACAGCCCTATATAATCAGGAAAAGTATTTAAGCACGGATGATGTAGAAACCTATAATACTAGCAATTAGGCAAAAATATTACCAAAACATTAAAAATTTATCAGAAAAAAATAGATCTCTTTCACACAAGTATGCCCCAAATTTTTGACACAGGTGCAAAAGCAATTCAACAGAGGAAGGACAGTCTATCAACAAATGGTGCTGGAGTGCTCAGACAGCCACAGGCAAAGAAAGAACCGCAGTCTGCACCATACACCTCATATGAAGTCTAACTCAAAATGCAGCATGGGCTTGAATGCAAAATGAAGAATTACAAGTCTTCTAAGAAGGGCACAAAAGAGATTAACTTTGGGACCTACGACTAGGTAAAGAGACTTGACTTGTCTTAGACTTGACAATAAAAGCAGCCTGATCCATAAAAGGAAAATTTGGTAAATCTGCATCCAAATTAAAAACTTCTGCTCTGCAAAATACCCTGTTAAAAGGATGAAAAGACAATTCACAGACTCTGAGAAAATATTTGCAAATCACACATCCGACTATAAATTCAACAGTAAGCTAACAAGCAATCTAATTAAAAAATGGGCAAAAGATGTGAACAGACATTTCACCAAAGAGGATATACGGACAGCAAATAAAAACATGAAAAGATGTTCAACATCATTAGTCGTCTGGATGAATCTCCACAGAATTATGTTAATTGAATAAAGACAATCTCAGAAAGATCTGTTGAGGGTTGAACCGTATCTCCCAAAAAAGATCTGTTGAACTCCTAAATTAAGTTCGTCAGAATGTGACCTTTATTTGGAAATGAGTTTTTGCAGATTTATCTAAGTTAAGATGAGGTCATTAGGGTGGGCCCTAATCCAATATGGACTCATGTCCCTATAAAAGGGGAAATTTTGACAGACGCACACAGAGTGAAGACACAAAGGGAGAAGATGGCCACATGACTGGAAAGCCAAGGGCTGCCAGCTACACCAGGAAGTGGAAGAGGCACGAAGGATCCTCCCCTGGGGCCATCAGAGGGAGCATGACCCTGCCAACACCTGGATTTCACACTGCTAGCCTCCAGAAGTATGAGAGAACAAATTCCTGTTGTTTAAAGCCATTTGGTTTTGGGAGCTTTATATGGCAGTCCTAGGAAACTCATACGGATACATACTGCATGGTTCTATTCATGTAACAATCACAGAACAAAACTGTGATGTTGGAGAACACAGTGGTTGCCAGGATTAGAGACAGGGAAGGGCAAGGGTATGGCTGTAAAGGGACACAGGGAATCCGGGGTGATGGCACAGGGAGTATGCTGAGGGTGGCGGTGGTTATGCAAGGCTATATGTGTGACAGGGAAGCACAGGAGCGCACGTGAACACACACGAATGCACATATGACTGTGGAAATCTGATTGGGCTCTGTGGATTATGCCAGTGCCGGTTCCCTCGTTTGCTTTTGTACTGCAGTCACCATGGGTGTGGGGTGCTGGCATGGGAGAGGTTGCACAGGACCTCCCTGCACATTTCTTTGCAGTCTACTGTGAATCCATAATTATTTCAAAATAAAAGTTAAATACGAAAAAAAAAATCTCTTTTTCACTTTCTTGACTTTGTTATTAGTATGATGGAAATACACCTGGACCTTTCTGGATGAGTCAGGTTCTGGCATTAACTCTTGGCGCCATTCTGAAGTCAGTCCTCACCACGGCATGTACAGGTGATTGGCTAAGTCACAGACTGGCCCCAGGACTTACTTAGCTTATTCCAACTTCTTCCTGCAGAAGCTGGTTTCTGGATTCTCTTTCCCATAAAAGCAGAATACAGGAGATATTTAAAATTTAGTGGATCAAGGAATCTACTCCATTGGGGTCTGGGTCCTTCAGTATTTCCTGACTACAGAACCACCAGTTCCTAGGTGCACATACCCACTGAAAGCCACGCTTGCTGGCAGGCAGCACCTGTGCTGGTGAAAGCCTATTTCTTGGACAGGACGGGATCAGTGTATCTTCCCCAGCACCCCGAGACAGGACCCCTCCACCCGGCAAGGCCCCAGTGCGACCTCCACCTGGCTTTGCTGTGAGCATCTGACACCTACTTTCTTGACCCTCAACCTCTGGTCTCAGCTGGAGGGCTGCAGGCAGGAGCATGCGCTGTAAGAGCCATGCAATTGCTGCTTGTGTCTCTGAGGACAGCACTCTACCTGCAGCAGAACTGTCACCTGCACAGTGAACAACCGCATGGCCCCATGAGCTGCTCTGTGCTTTGGAATAACAGGAACGTGCAGATGCTGAGTGCTACTTCACACACTGTGTGTTCTGCAGACGGGTGAAGGAGCACGCAGTCAGCCTTTGCTCTCCTCAGACTTGGAAAGTAAGAGACACATCACATGCCTAAAACTCATCCTCACTGGGGGCCCTGACCCCGGCCTGTTGAGCCAGACACTGTGACAGTCACAAGGAGCACCAATGAATGACTAGTGTTAATCATTCTCTAATTCTTCAGGAAAGGCACTAATCAGCGACCAAATGACTAAAAGGTGAATAGATAAAGGGAAAACAAAGGAAAAGGGAGGTCATTTCAACATTTGAAAACTATTAAATTTATCTGAGAATAACCCACTATGGTAAGAGAATGTCATACCCAATTGATAGATAAGGAAACTGAGGCAGGGAGGTTAAGTAACCTGCACAAGCTCAGTCACCATGTGGCAGTGGGGGTGTGCTGCATCTGTACACCCCCCACAGCCCCCCGGGGAACTGAGGGACCTTGATCAAGAGGCCTCACAGGACACTGGGCTGAGCAGGAGTTAGGAGACCAGAACGGGGCTTGGTCGTGTGTGTCAGAGACAGTGGACAACCAGGCCTAGCCTTGGTCTTCTCCTCTTGGAATTAGGAACAGTGATACTATTGCTGTTAGATAAAATGACATGTATGTGACAATGGTTTGAAAAATGGAAAAATCCCTCATAGAAATTAAAGATGGCAAAATGATGATGATAAAAAATAAAAAGCTAGGGCTGGCTGGTTAGCTCAGTTGGTTAGAGCGTGGTGTTGGTAACACCAGGGTCAAGGGTTTGACCTGTATCAGCCAGCCGTCAAAAAAAAAAGCTCAATGCAGTTCATTTATATTCACAATTTAATCCTCTGATTTCCGTTTCTATGGGCATTGTATTTTTACTTCAGTGTCACGATGCTTTTCGTGCTCGGTGAACATTAGCTGCTCCGCACAGACTCAGCGGACAGAAACGCATGCGCCTTAACAGAGCAGGGAAGGAAGGGCACCCGCCAGTGACAGCTCGTGTCGCACACTCCTTACATTGAAATGTAGAAACTTAACTGAGAGGCAGTCTTAAAATACTTTCTTATAGAGATCACTGGGATCAGCGTGGGATTCCTGTACACCAGCTGCAGCATCCTCCGTGACGACTGCACCTACTCGACGGTCAGATCAGGGCCCCTTCCATCTCCCATCCCTGTTGCATGTCCCACTGTGCGCTGGCTACAGCCTGCCGGTCTGGCTGTGCTTCTCCCTGCTTCACAGCTGCCCTGCCCTGTGGCCCTGCTCAGCATCTGAAGAATGTCAGGGGTTTTCATAGATATGGGTCATCAAGCTGTGGCCTTTGGGCCACTCCAGCCACCACCTGCTTATCTGTGGCCTGCAAGTTAAGTATGGTTTTTACATGTATTTAAGGTTTTTACATTTTTAAACCGTTGAAAAAAATCACAAGATTATTTTGTGCCATGTGAAAATCACATAAAATACAAATATCAGAGACCATACATAAAAGTTTTTTGGAACATGGCCCTGCTCCTGCACTTGTGAATGACAATATGGCTACTTTCACACTGCAGGTAGAGCTGAGTTGTTGCTACAGAAACCATAAGGCCTGAGAAGCCTAAAATATTGACTATCTGACCCTTTATAGGAACAGTAGGCCTACTACTCCCAATGCAGATGAAGGATAAGTTGATGTTATATACTTGTAATAATACAGGTTTAAGGATATTTGTATAATCAACTCATCAATAACTCAAATAGAAGTCAAAAAGTATATTCTTTTAGTCATTCTATATAGCTCTATAGCTCTTCCACTGCCTATGGATGACCAGAGAAATACAAAGAATTTGTTCAAAATAGGTGCACAATAGAAAATCACTCTGGATAACTTCAGCAGAAGAGAAAGACTCCAAACCAGGCAGCTGAATTGTGGTTGTGCACAAAGCACACATGCGTTTTAGAGACTCATATCAAGTGTGCAGCAATGAAACGAGATGAGGTCTGGGATTTGCTCTAAAATACTTCAGCAAGAAGAAAAGCAAGGGGTGTGCTGGGGGGCCAGGCCGACCTGGCTGAGGGCGCCTGCTCAGGCACTAGCTTCCTGCCTCCTCTCAAGACTCCTCATTGGGCAATTCCCTGGTGTTCTGACTTGGCTGGCCGCAGGTGACACACCGACAGGCCAGTTAGGTGCAGGCCCCCATGGCCCCATTTGTGTCCTCCACGCACACCCTCTCAAGGAGGCAACGCTTGGGAGTGCTCCTCTCCTGCACCTGGTGGGCGGAGCTCATGAATGATGAGGAGTTAACAACTAGGGTGTGCTCTGTGCCTCTCAGGTGATGACATGTACACAGATGTTCCTCCAGGAGTTAAGGCTGAGCAGAGAGGTTTCTTGCAGAATGCAGCACCGCTATTCAGACTGCCAAAGCCATCTCTTCCTCTTGTCTACTCCTAGCAGATCCTCCGGCATGCTCCACTGGGCTGCCACTCTCCAGAACTGCCCAAGGATTCACAGGGACCAAAGAGGTGCCCTCAATGGTCGAAGGCTCTCAGTTCCCGTAAGTGGCTGAGCTCAATCCTAAGATTTCCACTTCACCCCATAAATGAGGTTTTAGCTTTTCTCTCCTTTCTTCAACTTGTCAGAAAAGAACGAACAGTACTGGGCTAAGAATGTTTGGGGGCAGGGTTATGCCTGGGTTATTTTTCACCCCAGTACTCAGCACAGCAGCTGGAAGTCCACATCTGCACAAGGAATGAATTTATTACCACTTCAGCATGGAGCATGCTTAACTGGATTTTAAAAATGCTTTTCTATTTTGGCACTCTATTAATTTCTTAAGAGAGATTCTGCACAAGGAATGAATTTATTACCACTTCAGCATGGAGCACGCTTAACTGGATTTTAAAAATGCTTTTCTATTTTGGCACTCTATTAATTTCTTAAGAGAGATTATCCTTTAATAAACTTATAACACCTTATACACTACAACATCTTATGAGAGGGTGGGGAGATTACCTGTGGTCTTTGATAAATCACTTTGGCATAAAAACTGCAACGGGTGCCGAGATCATCAGTCTGAAAAGGCATTGAAAAGATTGGTAACATTGCACGAAACACACAGACACACCAAAAATACTTGAAGAACTTGTTACAAATGAAGACGTTACCTGGAGAATTTCTCTTAAGCAGCGGGGAATCGGTGGCTGGTAAAGCTTAGAAATGGGGTCTTCTTCAATTACATCAATTTGTCCCAGATTTGGATGAGCCATAAGGATGTAACAGAAGGTAGGAGGAGGCAAATGAGTTTTTACCTGCTTAAAATGGAAGCAAAGGCAGAAAGCAAAAGTATTGTTAAAAGACTCAGATGCACTATTAAATCTACTCTTTAATATATACATATTTGCTTACAGATATGTACTCCCTCTAGAAGGCTATACAGAAACATTACATTGTTTACTTTTGGGACCAAGTATAAGAACTTCTGTACTCCTGAATTTATTACCAATTCAAGATTTCATTTCAGAAATCTATTTCTCAGAGTATACTGAAAACACCACTTAGAAATTACTTCCTCTGAAATAATCTAGAAAAAGGGCATTTTTAACAATTCCTGTGCAGTCTGGCACTCTGCCAAGAGGTCAGCTACTAGATGCACACTGCAGCCTTGAGTCTTCAGCTTTGGGAGCTATGGCCCAAAGCAGCCACTGCCAGCCTGTTGGAAAGGCTTAGGAAGGAGATGGGGGCCCCCCTTTTTTTTTTTTTTCGCGCCTGCACCGCGTTCATCGAGCGGGAACCAGTCTCAACATGGGATCTGAACCCTCGGCGGGAGCACCGCCGCACTCCCAAGCTGCGCACTCTCCAGTGCGCCACCGGGCCGGCCCGAGGGAACACCTTTTAATCCATTTTGCTATTTGTGAGCCACTACCGTAAACAATTTGATGAGGCAGGAAAAGGGAAATTCTTGGCTAATCTAGTGGTTATGCAAATATCCATGGATTGTATCAAGTTGCTCTTCTAATTGGTAACTGGGTATTGGTTCTGAATGACCAGAAGGTGGTAGGAAAAACACTGTGTGGAGCTTAGCACGATATTAAGACTCTAACTGCTGCACAGCATGGGAGGACTGTGGTTTAAACATTTATCACACATGAACCTCAGGAAGCCTACAGCACAACAGGGAAAGCAGCCATAGCTTGGGCTCTGGATGAGACCAGAGGATCAAAATCCTGGTCCTGGACCATATTCAAGTGTCACCACAGAAAAGGAACTAGCTCCTTGTTGCCACCATGGGGACATTGATGGAGTATGGATGTGTCGTCCCCTCTAAAACTCATGTGGAAATCTGATCTCCAATGTGGCAGTGTTGGAAACTGATTGAGTCGTGGGGGCGGATCCCTCATGAGTGGATTAACGCTCTCCCTGGGGGAGAAGGGAGTAATGAGTGAGTTCTCCCTCTATTAGTTTTCACAAGAGCTCGTTGCTTAAAAAGACCCTGGCACCCTTTCTCTCTCCCTTGCTTCCTCTCGCCATGTGACCTGCTTGTACCCGCCGGTTGCCTGCCACTTTTCCACCATGAGTAGAAGCAGCCTGAGGCCCGTGCCAGATGCAGCTGTTCCAGAATCGTAAGCCAAATAAACCTCTGTTCTTTATAAATTACCCAGTCTCACGTATTCTGTTATAGCAACACAAAACGGACTAAAACAGACATGGACCAAGCAAATGGTGGTAAGGGCACCTGGCATGGAGTAGCTCAAGCTGGGAGAACTCTTCCAATGCTGGGCTTACCTCTTCACTGGGCTGGCTGCGGCCAGGTGCTTTCAGAGGCCTTGATGGGGGCCATAGAGTGTCAATCAAACTAAAAAGCCCGGCCATCCTGGAACAAGAAAAGATGCTGTCAAAGGTATTCATCATCAGATATCACCTCTTAATTGCCTGGTCAGTAAGTGGTCAGATGTTTAACAGACACCATTTGTAATGCCAAGGAACTACGACTTGACATGTGTGGTCATTCAGGTGGGGAAGACAGAGGGCACACAGACAGAAATCATGATGCATCTGCACAATGGAATATTATGCAGTCACTGAAATGATTATATAGAAAATAAATACTTAAGGACACGGAAACATGTTTATGACAACTTGCTAAGTGAAAAGCAGGCAACAAGTTCTCATGTGTCTCTTTATGCACATATCTATGCAAGCACCTACACATAATAAGCCAGAGGAAAATAAGAATGAAAGATATACAGATGGTTTTAGTAGTTATCTGAGTAGAGTTTGGAGGTGATCTTTATTTTCTTCCTTTGGATTATGAATTTCCTATATTTTTTCCAAAATAGATATATATTATATAGTAAGAAAAATTACCTAATAAAAAATACAACTGGACACAAAAGGACAAACATTGTATGATTCCACTTATATGGTTCTTGCCTTAGATCCGGCTGCATTTCCAAGACAAAGCTCTGACCTTTCCTCAAGCCCTTTATTAACAGGGAGGGAGCACCACACAGGTCTGGAGTCCAGAGACCTGTCTTGCTTCAATGCTGCTTTTTATACACCGTGAGACCTTGAGAAGTCACTTAATTCTTGGGCCTTGCATCAACCCTTCTGTAAAACTGGGAAAGACCAGTACCCAGCTGTTGGTGTTATTTCAAGCAGTAAAAGAAGTAAAGCATCTGCAGCACATACCAGGGTGTCCATGCTCAGAGTAAGCTCCCAACACACATCAGCCATCTGATGTCACTGTAATTATTAGCATTGTTATTGTTAAAGCCATAAATTTCTATGCTGCTTTTTGCTCAGAAATTTGCCCAGTTTCAGACAGAATTTTAAACCCACAGTTACTCTGAAGGAATGGGGTAAAATTAAGAGTATGGTAAAAGATGTGTGCAAAAAAATTTTTTTCTACACAACAGAAAAATGAACAACCCTTTCCAGATAGTGACACAGTGCTTATACATTTTCCTAAATTTTTGGAGTTTCCCAAAAAGTGGTCTGTGGAGTCCAATCCATAACAGGATTCTGTGCTCAGTTAGGGCTGCTGTGTGTGGCATATCTGGTATGTGGCAGGACAATCTCATACATCATTGCTGGGACTGTCAGGTGGTAGCAGCTCCGGGAAGCTCTGCATAAAAGATACCCATAATGTACTGTTAATTCAAAGTTTCTTCAGTTTATAACCATGAAGCTCTTTTTGGTGTGATCACTAATAATATCCTGAGGAACTAGTGTTTTGCTGGAATTCTCCTTGAGAACTGCTGTTCTATGTAAAAAGCCTTAGAAAAGTTCTATTTGAATTTAATGATGTCAATTTATTTAGAGGATGTTACTGGCTAGTTTTAAAAGTTTGGATGGCTTTCACATTTATATTTTAATGCAGATTCTTAGATAAAGGAAGGCTATGTGTTAAATAAAATAGTCTCATAAAAAAATCAGCTTTTCTACTCTTTTTAAAAATAGATATAGTTCCCATGGCTGCTGTTGCTTGTTAATCGGAGCTTTTGTCCTGAGCAGTTCACACACTCATTTAAATGACTCCAATCTCTGATCGGGAGAACTTGGTGCAGAAGCTAACTTTTGACACAGTTAAAGTGTATCGTTCTTCCTTTTGTTACAGAGGAAACACATACTTTTTATATTTTTAAATTATTATTTTCTTTTTAAAAAAATTGAAACATAGTTGATTATACATATCTGTGGAGTACAGTGTTGACTACCAATACCTGTGTGCAATATGTGATGCTCAAATCAGGATAAAGGTGCAGGTGCAGGCGCAGGCAGGGATTCAGGGACAGCCCAAGAACCTCCTCTGTGCGCCCACTCTGGGGAT